CAGTTTGATTATTAATTGAAATTTTCAGTGCATAATAAAAAAGGGCAAAAATTCATTATAAATTCTAATGATTAAAGATAGGGGAAGAGTTCAAATAAAAAGACCTCTTCCTGTGCAATGTGCGAAGATATTCACTTTTTCATGTTTCGCTTGCACTTTTTCATATTTACGAAATTGTCACCGCGATTTTGGTCGAATTTAATGCATTTTTGGCTCAGTTTGAGCCATTAGATGTGGAAATGAATGCACAAGATTCATTTTCACTTTTCATGGGAAGAGCTCTGTGTATTTGAACCATCCCCTTAAAGACAGAATTAAATCTTAGAGAATGATTTGTTGATTATACAATTGAAGATTAGCTGATTAGAAAATAATTTATTTATTGTGTGGACATGTGAGAAAAATTTGAAGATTTCAATTGAATTTTGAAATTGGGATTACTTATTAGTTTTATGTACAACAATTGTTTTTTTCTTATTAGTTTTATAATTTTGTATTTTAATAGAAGTATTTTAATTCATACCAATATTGAAAATGTTTTTTTAGAATGGATAATGAACATATTACCAAGAAAGGAAAGAGGTTGATTTTGTCATTCTTTCCGAAAGTGAATCGTCAACGTGGTGAAGAGAGTTCTGAACCTATAATGGGAGATGATTTTCTTGAAGATACATTGATGATCTACATTGAAAGAGATTTTGTCAATAATATAGATGTAGATTCTATTATTGATGAATTTTATACTTTGAAGTCGCGTAGGGCACAACTTAAGTGATGTTACCATGAATATTTAAAGTGTTGATGACTTCACGTATTATTATGTTTTTGTCAGCCCACCCCATTGTAACTTTCTAGATCCGCCCCTAGTTAGAACTAAATTCTACTGTTCTCACCATTTTACTGAAATAGATTTTCAATTAATTTCCAGAGTGTAATTATATGATGAATTTACTGTGAGTAAGTATTAGATTGTCCATCTGGTGAGTTTAATCCTTTGTTCTGATTTGCTTGATTACTTAGGTTAACATTGGCCTATTCTAGTCTTATCTTGATTGATTAAGTTGTTTGAATGGGTTGAATGAGTAAAAGCTATTCCTATTAGTCAGATCTTTTTTGGGTAAAAGGATAGATAATTCAACTGCAATTTGCTAACAGGTTTGCATTACTCAAATTAATGTTTTTTTGTAAGAATAAATGAAACACATAGACTTATTATGGAATCTGGATGGCAAGCGGAATAGTCATGCTTCTTCCTTAAAAGAACTCTCAGTATTTTTTGACTAATTAAAAAGAATTAATGACAAATTCATGTTCTAGTATCATTGTCATCGTATGGTTTCTGAAATCCTTAATTTCAAGTCTCAAAACACTTATATCGATAATTTCATTTATATTATTTCCATTTATTTTGTAGGCAGTAAGCATTTCTCTATTGTCAGTTTAGGAGATGAGTAAGAAATTCGGTGGAGGAAAGACTCCCACAGGAACTCCATCTCTTGCATGGTCATGTGTTGTAGTTATTGCCTCGTTGCTCACCGGTGCATCTGTTGTTCACAACTACTTTAAACCTGATTTGGTACCTTTCCTTTCACTAATTACTCGTATTTGTCTTCCCAAAGAATATCTACTGCTCATTGGATTAAAACAATATAATGCTTCTTATTATGTGCTTGTAATGGCTATGTTAATTGAAAAGCTCTGTCTTTGTACTAAATAAGGTTTTAATATATCATTTCCAAACAATTTGTTTGCTAATTGGACATGCATCCCAGCAATATGATAAAATGCCGCTCTAAGACCCCCATTAGTGTATTACACTTGCTGTGTGTTAGAGGAATACCCATTTTCCATCTCATCCATGCTATAAAATGCTTTCTAATTGGGCTTCGAGGATGAGCCAGCCGGCAAAGCCTCCTCAGATAAAGATGCATTTGATGCTACTCTCTCGGTTATTCTATTGTTCTTGTTTGCGAGTTCGGTCATGAGAGGCAAAAGGAGGGTCCTTTCTTTAAGTGATAATCTGCCATGCCTGTATCATTTATGTGTTGAGTTGTGAGTTTTTTGTTTTAAATTTTGTGTATTACTCTGTAAAAAACTGCAGTTGATGTTGAATTTGCAGACTCTTCCACAGTTAGAAAGCAATGATGGGGCTAAGCAAGAAGAAGTGAAGAAGCAATAATTTCCCTCCCACAATAGGGCAGGAGTTGTTGGCAACTCCACCTCAAAATCCAATCTATCAGCAAAAATGAAATCGAGTATTTTTTTGCCTTGTGTAATCTTTGTTTAAGGCTTATGCATGCTATGCATGTGATACTAATATATTTGTATTTTATCTGATTATTATTTAAAGTAATGATAAAGATAAGCTTACCTTGAATGTGAGCGAGTATTAGGTCAAAAAACACCTGATGGTCAAATTCCATAGATGTGTAATGTGCAAAAATATTATGTACAAAAACATAAACTTAGGGGTAAACAAAAAACTGAAAATAGAAACCGATCAACAAACTGATCCAGCTTGAAATGATAAAAATTTAAGGGAAAATGGAAACTAGTAATTCAACCTTTTAGTTGTCTTCATCATGGTCTCTGACCGATTTATGACTTGTTATTCCAAGTTATTTTCTGATCTTTGTAAAACATTATATCATAATTCCCACCTTATGATCACATAATGTCTTGCAAAGATAAGAAAATAAATTGGAATAATAGGTCATAAATCCAGGGACCAGTGAATAAAGATGGGATGCAAAAGTTGGATTATTTATGAATAATGAAAAGGTGAGACTATTGTAAGAAAACCACTAAAAGGTTGGATTATTGGTTTCCATTTTCCCAAAATTTAATTCAATGAAATTGAAACAAGCAAAATTAACTAAGTCTTCTGTGGTTCTAGGGTTGGATCGGGCTTGGGCCTCGGGACAGAATGGGGTGGGACTGGGGTTTTGGGTTGCAGGCCCGGTACTGGCCCGGGTTTGTACCGGGACCGGGTTGGGTCGGTCAACTTAATTTTTTTAAAAATGGCTTTTCGAATTTATTCCTACCCCACCCTCCCACCTAGGGATGGACCCGGGCCGATCTGGTTCCGGTTCCGGGCCGGGCCTGGGCGGGCTTTTTTGCAAAATGTTGGGCCCGGAACCGGCCCAGGTTGATACCGGGTCCGGGCCTAATCGGGCCAGGCCCTGGTCAAGTTCATTGTTTTTTTGTTTCTAATTAACACCCGACCCCCCCCCCCCCTCATCCCCACCCCCAAAACACCCAACCCTAACCTAGAAAAGCAAAAAAAATTGAAAAAACAAAAAAAAATTGAACCGGGCCCGGACCGAACCGCCCGGGCCGGTTCACCAAAAGTTGGGCCCGAGCCCGGCCCGCCGACCCGCCCAAACGAGCTAAAAGCCCGGAATCAGCCAACCGGTCCCGGTTCGGTCCGGGCCCAAACAGTAACGGGCCGGGCCGGTTCCGGGTCAGGCCGGGCCGGTTTAGTCCATCCCTACTCCCACCCCCAAACCACCCAACCCCACCCACCTAGCAGCCAATGAATGGGAAAAAACAAAAAAAAAAAAGGGCTACGACTGGTCTCGGATCGGCCGGGCCGATCAGCCCTTTTCAAGTCCCGTAGCCCACCCCCCTTTTACCCGGTTCGGGCCCCCATTCCCGTTATCGTCCGGGACTCCGGGTGGGGCGAGTGGGCCAACACAGTGGCAGGCTGGGTCGGGTTCTGAGTCGGGCATACTCGTCCTAGTCTATCTCTAGGTGGTTCGCCTTAGGCTTAAGGTTTGTGGTTTTGAATTTAAAAACCAACAGAATAGATAAAAATTGACCAAATGCGTTCAAAGTCCACTCGGCACAAATTGATTGAAATTAAATGAATCGAAACTAATTGATTAAAAGTCAAACTAATAAAAATATTATGATGACATTTCTTTTATTTTTCTCTCTATTTTCATATTAGTATGCTATATATATTTATTGTATGCTCAATATTATAAAATTCCAATTTTGAAAATTGTATAAGTTCTTCCATATTTTATATTTAGATATTTTATATTCTTTAATTAAATACAGTACATAAGAAATTAATCATAGTAAAAATATAAAGTACATATCTATAATCATTTGTATCATTTTCATTATTGATAAAAAATTTCAATTACTTTTTGAATTTAATAAAATTTAATAAATGGATTTTAATTGACTGAACAGATAATTGTGACAGCATTTTTATCTATTTTTAAATGGGAACGTTCTCACTTCTCGTACAAACAAAAACGTTGTTTCGATTGTTGCATCATTTCCAACAAAAAGTAGTTAGCTTGACGGACCTATTAAGCAATAAGCATATAGATTTCTAGATTTTACCAAGTCAATAAAGGTCTATCGTCCGATTTTAATCTAGTAAATATATTGAAACTTTTTTTTTTGAAAGGGTAAATATATTGAAACTTAAGCAAATAAAAAAGAGAAGAAAATTGTGGACATTGTATATTTGTATTGACATGGACCATCTTACCCCTTCATACGCTTGGTAGCTTATGGGCTCAGTTACCATTGTTATATCTTAGAGAATGGGATAGACTGGCCCGTTATCTTCATAAAGCCCATTGAAACCCAGGGCTGGTGAGTTGAACTACTTAACAGATCAGATTAAATAAAAAATGTTCTTTCTTGTCCAATAACTCCAAATTCGCAATCTTTTTTAGGTAGTATATTTGAATAAATTTCTGAAATAAGAGTAATAATGTTTGAAAATTTTAAAATATGGTTGTCATATTTTTTTGAAAGATGATTGTCATGTTTTTATTCCTTAAATAGAAGCAATTACTATTAAGTTTGGAAAAAAAAGTTATGTTTAAAGTCTGGTACCATCAAAACATGACAATAATTATTTTTATTTAGGGATAAAAACATGAAAATTCTAATTTAGAACACACAAATGCTTTTACTCCTGTTTTGGACAATTTTCCTTTATGTTTCCATGCGAGACACAACACATACAAATGGCTCAGATCACAATTTCATTCTCATATATTATTCAAATGTGAGTTCTACGGTATTCTAATTGGTCGAAAATCACAAAGTATTGATAAGGTACCATAAAATTTGCCTTATTTAGAACATTATTTAATTTCAAGGAACTCAATTCTAGTTCTAGAGTAATCTAGATCTACAAAGAAAAGCATAACTTTTGGTATAAGTTCTTTTATTGCGCCTTGAAGGGTTGAGATCAGAATTGAGCCCCTTCAAAAGTTTGACCAAATTGCCAGTTTGAGGGCACCACGTCGTTACTTACGACCGTCTTTCCGTCACTAGTTGTAACTTGAAATGAAAGACTTTGACCGGTCAAAACGGTATTGGTTTGCCAATTTTGGCCCCAATTTCTTGACATTGGTTGCCACTCAGTTTTTGATCCCTTAATGGACACTGCATGAACGTCTCCGGCGCCGCCGACGTTACTCACTAAAACCAAGTTGAAGTAAGTGTTTCCTTTGATCGTGAATTTTATTCCTCCTTTCTTAATGCAAGAAACCCTACACAGATCCAACATGTAACTCATTAGCAAGTATACACATATTATATGAAAAAGTCAATTAATCATATCCCCGAATTTTGTAAAATCGACCAATTGAATCCATTAGCAGGTTCCTCGTCACAACAGCAAGTCACCTGGTGACGTGGCACACACGTGTCAGTCCAGTGAACATTAACTTTGCTGACATGGCACACACGTGTAAGTCCGGTCAGCCATTCACTAATGATGAGGCTCGCGCATGAACCGCCACGTGTGCGCCACGTCTGCTGGAGACCCGCTTACAAGACAAGTAACATGCTAATTGACTTAAAATATGAGGACTTAAATGATTTTTTTTGTAATATTACGATGACCAATTGACAGTTTCCCTATATGTTTATATACTATGTAGATAACTTTATTTTAAAAGTCTGAAAGTCTGAATTATACAAAGATTATGTGATACACTGCTGGAATAACTCAGCTCCATATTTATAATCAAACCGATTCCCTCAAAATAGGACCAGAACTGATCGGTTTCGATGGTTTCTGACATATATAATACTCCTTCCGTCTCATTTTACATGTCCTACTTTCCTTTTTGGGTTGTCCCAAAATAAGTCACATTTCCTCTTTGGAAAAGAAACATGTGATTTATAGCATTTCACTTTATTATATTCAAATCTCAACTACAACTTTTACTTTTTAATCACTTTATTAATAATTGTATCAAGTTAAAGTGAGACATGTAAAATGGGAAGCTAGTATTTTTTAAAACTAGGCTCAAAAGTGCATGCCAATGGTCATGTTAATGGTTTTAATTGGGTTTGAACTTAGACTCAGCTCGATCCAGACCCACCTTTGTATTGATTTCGAGTCCACATTTAATTATGTTTACGGTTTACCCAAATCTGAATTGTACATGTTTTTTTAATTTGCTTAATTAGATAAATGAGTTCATGGACACATGCTATTCTTTTCCGTCAAGGAGTTGATTCTTGTAAAATCTTTATTTAATACCCCTCCCACCGGAAAGGGTTTACGGTTCGCCCATTTGACTTTTTTTTATTAATGGCAATCATCTTTAAAATGACATTATTTCGAATATAAAGATAGTATTAAAATGTTTCTTACTCAATATGTTTTCATAAAAGTATAAAATTTACCCCGTCTCTAAAAGAACTTACATACTACAAATGACACGGAAATTAAGATAGTAGGTATTGTGTGGTGGAGAGTGCAGATGAGAAAGAAATATGTAACAACTACTGTGAATCATAAATTCTTTACCAAAAAATGAAAGTGAGAGTTTATTTTGAGACGCTTGAAAAGGAAAGTTGGATGTATTTTTAGAGACATGGAGTCTAAATTATATAAAAATATAATAGCTAAAATATTATTCAAAGTTTGTTATCGTTGACTATGAAAAGTATGATAAACCTTTTCAGGACAGAAGTAGTAAAAGTTAAGCGCACACACATACATACATCACACACATATCAAATGAATGTGGGAGGTGGCCACAATATCATAATTGTGTTTGATAATAAATTTTGTTTAGAGTATAAGATACTGCATAATACTCCACCCGTCTCGTCCGAGACCTGTTAAGGTTTCACTTGCCTCTTGTAGACCTTCAATTTTAAAGTTTCAAATTTCATTTTTGAAACAATTAACTCTCTTAAATAGTTAAATGATAATCATCTATCGCATATTAAATTAAAATTAATATACCCATAGCATTAGAATTATCAACAACTACTTCATCATAACACACACACACACTAAAACTGTTTCTCTAAAGTATACTCAAATTGCTTTAAATTTAGTTATTGCCTAAAAACATGCCATTTAGTTACTATATATGACAAGTTAGGATTGGATTTACCTGCGGTAAGAAACAGGGACAATTCCGGCCTTGTAAATGGCGATTTTCAAGTACGCAGGCTGGGACATGTCGAAGTGTGGGCGGGGAGGGTTGCACCAGCCGCCGTTGTCGCTGGGCAAGCTGGTGTTCGGCGGGCAGAGGTCGGTGGCGGTGATTGTGATGCTTCCCGGCACGCAGTTCGGGCCGGTGCACGTGATCTCGTAGCATGAGCCGCATGCCAACCCATCGTTGAAAAGGACGGTACTCAGCGCTGCAATGTCTGTACCGTACCCCGTCTTGTACAAGTCGCCATATCCACAAGCTCCGCCTGCACCCAGTTCTTCCCAAAGTTAGAATGCAACTTAATTCTCCTTCACTTATGAGTAAAACATAAAAAAGTGCTCACATAGATGCAATTATGTTTATTAGTAATTGCTCCGAATAAGTATGTTTTTACTTGGACGGTAATTTGCTGGTCTGGTCTGATCTGATCTGGTCTGGTCTAAACTGGTCTGGTCTGGTCTGGTTTCTTTGTATTTTTATAACTATCCAAGTCTGGTCTGTTCTGATCTGGTCTGATCTGGTCTGGTCTGGTATGGGATTAATTACAGTCCACGTAAAAACATCCTAATACTAAATAATCATTAGTAGGATTATACGAATGTTTATAATTCCCTAAATATGACTTGTCTGATCTTATTTAAGGAATAAAACCTCATTAATCAGGAGTCAATGAATTTTATTTTAGGAAGGAAACAATGGAAGTCATATTTACGCACATTGTCAATGTTTCAGTCTTATTTAAGGAATTTAGAATCAAAATAAGACTTATTTAGTCATATTAAAAATATAAATTTCACCATTCAGGAATGAATGGATCCTAATTCCGAAAAAAAAAACAATGATATTTTGTACATATTTTTATAGTTTGTTCAGGTTTTAATTTTATTTAAGAAATTTTGTCATTTGTTTACTATGCCTAATGTTTGCAGCTCAAAATCCCTTGATTTTGAAAGAATGCGAGGACATAGGCACATTTAACACTCGGAAAAAATCATTTGCTAACAAGACCGTTTCATTAGAAAACGAGTTGCCTTTCTCAACTGGGCCTATAAGGCCCAATATGACAAAAATCATACTAACATTAAAAAAAGACTCCAAATCAAATTATTTCTTAGAAACAGCACAAGTAAGGGCAGTATCAAATGAAAACTATGGGTGTCTCATAATCGTTTTCCTCGACTTATTTTAGTCTCACACCAAATCAAACCAGACTAGTTCACCTCACGTCAGAGTTTGATAGTTATTAAATAAATAGAGATTAGACAACTATCAGAACATAATAGTTCATACCAAGTCATAAAATTTGAGTTAAAACCATCCTAGCTATATACTCAAACACATTGTCAATGGTAGGAAGGAAACTCACATGACCAGACCATATCAGACTTGTTCAGACCAGATCAGAGTTTGATAGTTCTAAAATATATAGAGATCGGACACCTACCGAATCATATCAATCTTGGCCAAATTAAACCATAAAATTTCAGTTCAGTTAAAAAACATCTTATATACTCACACGAAGCTCCAAATCACAATGGGAAAGATTTCCAAATCATGATCATTCACAATTCAATGTTTTGTAGGGGATAGATCATTGTTTGGTATCCTAAGGAACAACTTAGTGGTTCAAATTAAGGCTATAAAGAGTTAAGGTCGTGAACAAATTAAGTTTTTAGATGTAAACTTTTTCATTTTTCTATATAGCCACTTATATATTTAATTGCGTCAAGGCTAATCTTGATGTATATTCCAAAAAAAAGGCTAATCTTTTTGTAGCCATGTCCAACATAATATTTTAGAAACGCCTAATTTAGGAAATAAGAGAATGAAACCTTCATAAAACAATATAATTAAAGACAGTTCTACAAATAACACAATTATGTATGTTTAGGTAAAATCACGTTTAAGCATGCGGACCATTCGAATTCATCTCAAACCGTGGATGTTGTTACGGGGGCGGAGGTACATTGTAGCTTAAGGGGACCATGCCCCCTATCTAGCACGGAAACTCTCGGGAAGGAGTATGTTTCCCGTTTTGAAACTTCTAGAAACTCTTTGTAAGCTCTCCAAATAAGCGTTTTATGAGTAAAAGTTGCCGTTTCCCGTTTCCTGTTTTCTCATGATTTTCGTGTTTCCGTGCAACATAGGCCCCCCCTCCCCAAATAAAAAATTCTGAAGGCAATTAGGCAACCCTTAAGTCTCTAAGTTTTTAAATTTTATATTTTGAGATATTAGCAATTTTAGTCTTGTAATTTTTTGTTGTCCCCGTTATTAGTCCCGTAACTTTACTTGCATTTTGATTAAATCCTTTAACTAATAGGTCTTTGCAGCTTAGTGAATTTTCTACTTCAAAGTACACTTTCTAGCAAAAAAATCAACATTGATTGTGGTGAGTTATCGATAGGAAAGTGTACTTTCTCGTCGAGAAGTACTCAAATTGCAAAAATATAGTTACATGATCAAATTTGTGAGCACGGAAGTCTGCCTCTGTAGCTGACTCGCTGGATATTAAGAATGGAGACCATTCATATCCATCAAATAAAAATTTAGGAGTTCAAGAAGAGCTTTATCATTTCTATTAAAAGTACACTGTAACAATTTTAAGTTTATCATTCGAGTAAAAATAAATTTAGTCCGATTAATAGGACGTAGGATGTATCATATTTCATTTGTAACATTTTTAATGCAAATATGTATGACACATTTATTATTATCACCCATCTTAAGATATTTTTAATTGAATTAATTTCACTTACAAACCATATAATATCAAAAACATTAAAAATATCAAATCAGAACATTTCAATACCATTAAAAACATATTTAGTTTAAGAACATTAGAGAATCTGGCTATGTGCACATAATAACACTTGAGAGGCCAAGTAATTTACAACAATGTTTGGTGTACATACTTTATTGTTGTACACACTTTTACACACGCATATGACACTTTTTTTTGGTTGTCTCATACAAAACGTGTTTGATTGTTGATTTTGTTAGGTCTATATACTCCACATAAATATAAAAAACAAAAAATTAATATCTTTTATTATTATGGCGTGTTAGGTGTGAGTTTTGGTCGAAAAAATAAAAACAATTGATACGGATATAAAAAAGAAAAAGCTTACGCCACTTGGGATTCACAAACGTGTAGGGGCAGATTCAGGACACTGGATCGGACTAAACCAGTACAAAGAATATTTTTGAAAAAAAAATTAATCAGATTTTTTTAAATTAAAAATTAAACCACTTTTAAAATTCGGGGTGGGTCAAGACCTAGGTCGGCCACCCCATATCTCCCCCCATGAAACATGTGACTTGAAAACTAGTGAATTAAAAGGGCATGAAGAAAATGTTTGAATTAAATTAATTTAAATCAACGAGCAAAAAAGAATATGTTAAATGGTACAAACCCATTGTGCCAGAAGCATCACTGCCACCATAAAAAGTTGCATGTGCAGTCTGCCAGTCTCCAGTGTCAGCACAAGTGAGATGGATGCAGAAGCTTGAAGAAAGGAGTAGGAGAAAGGGAATAAAGAATTTCACTGCAGGGATTATCCAAATAATTGCCATTGAATTTAATTAATTAATAGCAAAAAAGTTATTAATTGTGTGATTAATTAGGTATAGGGTGCTGGCCGGAGTGATGGAAAGTCAATGTGTTTGCATGTGATTTAATCTTAATTTTATATCATAAGTATGGAGTAATATATATAAGTCAAGAGGTTTGGTACGTTATTCTAATCTAAGAACTAAATATGTATATACCCATGTATGATATGATTTGGATTAGTGGTTTACATGGAAACATTGAGATATGATATTTTTTCTTAAGCAAATTTGGGATATGACAATAATCACAAGTAACTGATATTGACGTGAATTGTTTTGGGTATATTTGGAAGGTTTTTATATTTATCCATTAATATACTGACTACAAAATTTTATAAGTCTATGAGCGTATGTGTTGAGATCCCAAATGGAAAAATATTATTTGTACTCACTTTTATATCCATCACCTTTATACCCATCAATGTGAGAGGTTTTTTTGTTTATCAATCTCGTTCACGGATAAAACGTGTTTTATTTTCCATAGACAAAATAAAATATGTTTTGTCGTTCACAAATAAAAATAGCACTCACATTTATGGCTATAAAGGCGGGTATAAATAATATGCTTATTGTTTAAATTATAGGCCAAGCTACAACATTGTTTGAGTGAAGGGGAATACTGCTCACCCGCATCAACATAGCTCGGCAGGGTTGTCTGATGAATTTGGAGGTTCCGGTTCCAAATGGCGAATTGAGCCCCCCCCTAAAATAAGGGAAAATACAAAATTTAACTATGAAATACAATAGACTAGATAATTCAATGAAATATACGTATGTTATATGATGTTTAAAGTACACACATTAGACAACCTAAGAGTTATATAGATTTTGGAATCTTGAATAATACATAACATCTAAAAACATCAACCTATAACTAATACGATAGTACTACATACTAAATTTATGGAGAGCCCCTGCAAGGGTGAGCTCCGATGCGAAACACCCATTGCACCTTCTAAAAGACGGCACTGTAGCTAGGGCGGGCGCTTATTAGACTCTGTTTTATCCCAAATTTTAATGTCTCGCTATTAATATAATCATTAGAACTTTTTTTATGCCTACTAATACGTGTAGTCTGATAGTCTGATATATACCAATTTGTACCAACTGAAAATCAAAGGTGTAAGCGGAATGACTTAATTCTGTTCATCATATGCTGTTATTTCTATACTCCGTATTAGATATACTAATACACAAATTTTGGAGTACATTCAGGCTAACGCATTAAACTACCAAAATCATGATATTTGGCCATGGAGTTTAATTACTAACGTCATTACGTGATTCAATCGGTGTTGATTATTCAAGTTAGTGAAATCAAAACTTCTAAACAGTTACTCTGTATAATAATACTACTAAAATGAAATGTTTTTATATACGTGAGTATAAGGGAAATAAAATTCTTAAAAATAATGATGATAATTGCCATGAATAATAGTAATAGTAAGTCTCTCTAAGTTTACATCAATTTCTAATCTTGGTGAAATAGTAGACCAATAATCTCCCAATTCACGTTCTATATGAATTCCTAATCCGGCTCAAAATAGTAAGTAGTAGACCAAGAGCCCGTTTGATGACCCCATTTTTTGGTGTATCGGGCTTATCAACCAACTCTTTCACCAAAATGTACTCCCTCGGTCCCAAATTGTAAGATATATTTACTATTCACTTGGTCAACATAAATCACTCTTAATCTTTTACTTTTTATATCAGAAACTTATGAAGTTTGAATTATTTTTTGTAGGTTTTGTAGCGGTTTTAATGTAGTTTCTGGATATGTAAACTTTATTTTCTAAAACTAATTTGAGTGTTGACAAGGATCAATTTGATTTATCGTCAGTCAAACATCGTAAACCGTAAAGTATCTTACAAATCAGGACGGATGGAGTACTTTTTTATTTCGCGCGTTGAAGTTTGTAATAAGCAGAAAAAGTAAGATTGGAGTTACTTTTCTGGCTGTTTTGGCTGAAGTTACTGTAGAGGATCGTTTTAGCTATTTTTCATATGATTTTTTATTTAATTTATTAATAACAAATATTTTAGATATAATTTTTTCATGAATCAACATAATCAACCAATACAGCCACTTCAGCCAGAACTTCATAAATTTCAGCAGAATCAGTCAATTCATACAATTTTAGTGTTACCAAACGGGCTCCAAATTGATATACTTAAACCTTTATACTATTTTCAATACGTCACTTATGCCCTTATACTAAAAACGTATTTTATTAGTACACTTATTTTAAATAATTGATCAAATTGACCATTTAATCAGTTTGTGACCTCTAATAGCAGGTTTTTTGATATATTAAAAACTCTAAAACAATTGTTAAAAAATGATGAAATATAGATAAAAATTGTTTAAAATCTGATAATGTCAAAGTCAATAGTTTTTTATTTTTGAAATTATTTTTATATTCTACATCTCTTTAAAATGCTTTTACATTTTTTTATTTTTACATTTTCACTTTATTTTTTCAGTGTTCTGATTTTTTTACTTTAACGTTTTTAAATTATATATCATATCTATTTTTACATTTATACTACTTTTATATTATTATTACATTATTTTTCAATTTTTTATATTTGAATTTTTATACGACTAATAAATACTCCTAATTTATATTTTATAAAAGATCCTGATATATATTTGGTTAAAATGAATTGATAGATTGTATTTTAAAAGCAAATGTACTTATATATATAATGCGTTTAGTATAAGCACTTATGTGATAGACTAAAAATAGTAGAAGAACATATTCCACTCTTTTATCATAATCTTTCAATACACATTATATAGAACAAATTAAACAAAAAAGAAATTCAGTCCAAATAAAAACATGAGAAAGTTTTATCCTAACGCTATTTTACGATGATAGTGATTGATTATGGTTGAAACCTACGGAGTACTACTCAAGGTGTAATAACTATTAGGAAAATTGTAAAAATATATAACACCCCAATAATGCTCGAAACAAATCCAATTTCAAAAAATAATAAATTTCAAGTATAATATGGCAATCCCCCGCTTATTTTGTACTATGGTAGATTTAGACTTTGATTTACATTTTTTAGAAACAAAAACCAATCACCGTTCTTCAAAAATGAAACATACAAATGAATATTCCCTTCATCCCAATTTGTAAGATACTTTACGATTTACGATGTTTGATCGACGATAAAGAAAATTGATCCATATCAACATTCAAATAACTTTTTATTTAGAAAAAAGAATGGCATGTGAATGGATGACATTCTTTGCCAATCAAGGCAGCCACCAATCCCATCAACTATCCCCCAACCGCCTAATTTCATTTATCATTCATTAAATTTAATTTATTGTAAAAAAAAATATACCAAAAAATTAGATTTCTTCCCCTCTATAAATAGATACCAATAAAGGATATATTTAGTCACTTCAAAATTTATCACTTCTTTCTCAATGCATCTTAATTTATCTATTTTAGAATATGTTTTCCTCTGAAAATGGATCGAGCCCGTTCTCTACCTAGATACAATGCCAACAATGAATAATTATAGTGGATCAAAAGTGGATTTCGTATTTCTTTTTCAAATTAAATAAATTAGTAATGGTGGAATATACCAAAAATATGGAGAGAGTGTAATAATTTTAAGTGGCCTAGGTAACCATAGTGGGGAGAAAATGTGATAGGTTATTCACATTTGTTGAAGGGCTCCATGGCACTCGTCCCAAATTTTAAAAGGGCCGGTTTATAATTTGTAAGCGTTCGTTTCAGTTCGGATAAATGGTCCAAGCCTGCGGCCTGCTACCCGGATAAATGGATAATTACACCCGACCCGGTTACAGCACCAGCATCACCATCGCGACTGTCAGGCTCGAAGAATTATCATCAGATCTCCGATGAGATTTCGACAGCGACGTACATCGACGAATCAGCGGCGCAATCTGTGGAGTTCCAGTTTTCATTGACGCTGAAAAGTATAAGCACGGCCGGCCTTACGAATTCCACAAACAATGATGCTTTGAAAGTGAAACTTAGCTTGATTCAATTTCACACCGTAGCTAGAACTCAGGCCAGAGCAAAGGAATTCGTTTCCATTCCTGTAAACTTTTCATTTCCACGCCCAGCTGCAACAGAGCATCGTCCCTGTTACGCCCGTGCTTCAATTCCGCTGTTGGACTGTGCATTTCTTATATAGTTCATCCGAGTAATACCGTACGTTTAGTGAGCATCCAACCTATTTCATTGAGTATTACGAGCCTAACGATGAGGAACACGATCTCAACTCTATATCTTTTAATTTTTGTTTTTTTCTTATTTTTTTCTTTTATAAAAACTTATTAAATTATATCTATAATACACTCTTATGAATTTCAATATGTGAATTTAGTCTAATATGATACTTTTGAAATATGCATTGATATGACATTTTAAAATGAGCATAACATCAATACGAAATGAGCATACGTAATCTACAAAATGTTAATTGATATGAAAATCGTAAAGTTTGTTAGTTTGACATAACGACATTTTCATTGAGTATCAAACCTTCTCTATTGAGATAAAAATCACAGTTTCTGTTAAATGAGCATTAATGAACTTTTAATGTGCATCAAACTTATTATGAGCATTAAAACACTTTTAATGTCGTTTGAAATTGCTAATGTGCTCAAATCCTTATTTGTCTATACTCATTTGGTTTAAACATTATGCTCATTTGCCACGTGAGAGCGATGACAAGGGTTGGATTAATTTACGAGGCCCTTCATATTAGAATTAGAATCCTAACAAAACTCCAATGCTCTAGAGGACTCTTATATAAATATAACCCCTGCGGTCTGCATAATCATCCTTGCACCATTGATTTCAAGACCCATAGCTACAGAGATTTCTGGAAGCAGAGTTAATAGCTGGCAACTTTTCTACTTTACTGTTCTTTTTTTTTTCTTTTGGTGCATTGCAGGGGAAATTCATTGGAAGCAGAGCTCGAGATGTTGCTGGCAGGAATTTTGTTGACGCAGCGGACAGAGGTTTTACGGAGGCAAAATTGCTGCTGATTTTTTTAATCCGGAATTCGCTGCTCTTGCCTGGTGCTCCGTCCAAGAAGGAAAGGTTTGATTGATTGCAGACAACATCGAGAGTTAGTGGTAGAAGCAGGTCGCTGCTCCCCTTGTTTGCCGTGCTATTTTTTTGTTGCCGATTCCTGGCGAGGTCTATGTCGTTGGTCGCTGAGCTTGGGGTTGAACTCCGACGGTGAGCAGCAGACCGATAGTGAGCTTGGTCGCTGAGATCTCTGATTTCTTCTGTTTGTTGCAGGAGAAGAGGCCACGCCATTTAAAAACCGGGTGTACATGTACACCCGAGTGTATAATATAATTTGCCCTGGACTCTGGGTAGTGTGTTGACATTGGAGTTTTATTACGACTTTTACAAATTTCAAAAAATAAATCATATGATGTGCATACATTTGAATTTATGTAAGCATAAAAACTAAAAATAAATAAATTGAAATAATGTTTGAATTTATCAATTTTTGGTTATCATTTGTCTAGCTTTTCATATGATCCTTCTTACTAGCAGTGGGTGTAACGCCCCTCTCAGGGTTAAAGGAACCGTTTCATAAACTTACGACTTTTAAGAAAAATACTGCAATATAACGGCCTTTTGTTTGAGAAATAACCCTGATAAAATCTCAAATATAAATAAAATATAACTCCAAATAAAACTCAATAAAATCTAGTTATCACCAGCAAATGTGATAACCACCTGGATCCAGGAATTTACTAAAACTTCAAATCCTCAAATAAAATAAAGAAATAATAATCACTGATGGAGTATATGGGTCTGAGCCCCTGGACCCACATACTCAGAAGAACAGAAAGCACAAGACACCGAGTGGCGCCCACGTCGGCCAAGGGACCCCCGTCGGCCGAGAAGGTGCCAACTCAGATTATGGTCCTGAGCCCAAGGAACCCGGGTGCCCTCGTCGGCCGTGCCCTCGTCGGCCGTGCCCTCGTCGGCCACGCCCTCGTCGGCCACGAAGACCTCACAGAACCGGATTTTATACTTACTCA